AACAGATTGATTATGTCAGCAAAAAAAGGTATATTTAATGACAATTTAATGCAATTAAGTGTGTAATGCAAATGAGCATGGTCATTCATTGGATATATCACACCATTTAGGTTACTCCCAGTCGGGGAGCTATAGTGGAGATGGCGGCGGAGGCCGTAGCGGAGGTAGCGGTGGAAACATGTGTTTCAATTGTGGCAAATCGGGTCATATGAGCCGCGAGTGTCCCGAACCGGACAAACGCCGCACCGGAAGCGGTGGACGAAGTGGTGGTGACGGGAGTGGCGGTAACCGCAGACAAGTCACTTGTCATAAGTGCGGCCAATTGGGTCATATAAGTCCGCAGTGTCCGCAACAACGAGCTGGTGGTGACCGCCGCGGCGACCACAGCACCAGTACTCGTGGTGCCGGTGATTGCCATCGGGCCCTACCGTTCACTAGTGGTCGGCCAACACAACCCCCACAACAACAACAACAGCAGCAGCGGTCCCCTCGAAGTAAAGGTATTTGAGTTTTGTTTAGACGTCTAACAGACAACTTAATGTCCACCTCTAACCCCCATTCCCTCCATAACAGAGATCCCGTATATTCCCGATGAGAGGCCGAGTAAAGCGAGCGCGCAGTTTGTCCGCCGCCCCGACACCGGCGCTAAAGGCACACGCATTCAACTAATCGCCAATCATTTCCGACTAATCATCGAAGACATAGTCGTAAACCACTATCACGTGGAGTTCGAGTGCGGCGCCCGAACCCTGGGTCAGGCGGTCGCGTCCGGTGGCGGCGATGCCGGAGCCGATCGCGAGTCCAAGAATAAAGTACGCAAATTGCGGCAAAAGGAGAATCGGCAGGTGTTCCGCGAGTTCATGTCTAATCAGCCGCAGCTGTTCCGCGACCCGCAAACTGGCGACCAATTGTTGCCCGTATTTGACGGCAATTCAAACTTCTACACCAAAGGCCGTCTCTCTCAGGACGAGAACACCTGTACTATTCAAGTGGCGATCGACGGCTCCAATCCGGTCAATGTTAATGTGACCATCAAATACACTCAACCCATAGACTTGAGCACTATTAACCTCTACTATGACGGCCAGTCCGATACAGTGCCCCGCGAAGCCATGCAAGCATTGGATATTATCTTAAGGTTTGGCCTCTCTTTCCCCCATTGATTGTCTCAAATATTAAAACCAATTGTCCGCACAGATACGGCCCGACATCTGATCGCATACCGATTGGCAACTCTTTGTACCCGAAATGGGATGAGAGTAACCCAATGTATGCGCGCGTCAACATTGACAACGCGGGCCCCGACAGCGTTGGTTACAAACAAGTCGTGTTCGGTCATTACCAGAGCACCCGATTGACCAAAATTGGTCCCACGATTCTCGTGGACCGATCGGCCACAGCGTTCTTCACCGGCGGCTCTCTCATGGATTTCATGTATAAAATGAAACGCCAATTGGAACAACGCATGCGCAACGCATCCGAGACCAAACTTTTTGAGATTCTCGCCAAAGAGTGCAAAGGTCTGTACCTATTGAGTGGTCAACCATTACGGGTAACACTCATACTCACACACACCATGTTTGCTTTCTGTGTAGGTCTGCGTGTATACACTCATCACTTGAGTTACCGGCGCTCGTATACCATCAAAGACTTGTCCCGCTTTCCGCCCGATCGGCAAACGTTTGAAATTGACGAAAACGGCCGCAAACGACAGGTTTCGGTCAAAGACTACTTCAAGTCGCAGTACAAGAAGGACATCACCGATACTGGTCTGCCCTGTCTTATACCACAGGCCAATAAACCCATATATTTGCCCATTGAGATGTGCACATTGCACCCTGATCAACCCGTTTCCCGGGCCAAACTCGACCCGTTCAGCACATCCAAAATGGTCAGAGCGTGCGGTATGTATTGAGCTCACTATGAGACTGAACCGGTGGTCAATACTAAACTACGCTGTGTTTCTATAGGCAGCCAATCGCCGGTCGAGCGCTTCGACGCCATTGAGGAGGCCGTGCGCACCATCAACGAGACGTCCGCACCCTATCTCAACGAGTTTAGCCTATCGATCGACACGCGTCCCGTGCAGGTGCCCGGCCGTGTGCTCACCAAACCGGACATCAAAGGCCTGGACCGGGACGCCAACAAAACGATGCACAACCCGATACCACTCGAGCGCTGGGTTTGCGTCAATCTGTGCGCTTATAATGTGAGTCGCGAGGCGTACGACAGCTTTATAAGGGGACTGATGGGCAAATACGCCCACGATGTGGGCATGACTGTCAGTCGACCGGCCAAACTGTGGGAGTACGACCGCCAAACACCCAGCGATATCGCAGAGATGTTCCGGTGCGCCAAACAGGACTGTCCGCGACTACAGATGATTATGTTTATCATTCACGACACGGATGACCTGATCCACGCCAACATCAAGTTCGAGGCCGAGTGTCATCAGGGCATCGTCACCCAGTGCGTTCTCGCCAAGAACGTAAAAACTCCCAAAGGTATGTGTGTTCCTTCCCCCCCTCTCTACTAACAAATAGGTCTATTGTCTGGTATTTACCCCCTCTTTACCGCCCCTTTAGGTGGCCTTCAGTCGAATCTATTGCTGAAGATTAATACCAAACTCGGAGGCGTTAATCGCATACTTGAGTCAAATGTGGAGAAACCTGAAGTCTTGCGTAAAGACAACTATCGCGTGATGTTTATTGGCGCTGATGTCACACATCCGGCGCCGGCCGACAAATTGGAAACATCGGTGGCCGCGTGTGTGGGCTCTATAGATACCGATTACTGCACATATTCGGCCAGTATTAGGGCTCAGGAGAGAACAACTAAAGCACAGGCCGTAGAAATGATTAAGGATTTCGATGGTATGATTGCGGAGTTGTTGGCCGAATATAAAGGGGCGCAAAAAGGGTTTCCCAACCATATCATCTATTATAGGTACTGGTCTCTCTCTCTCTC